TTTTCAGAGAGACCAGGAATTAATAGCCTGGAGTCTACCCAACCTGCTTTTGGCTACACTTTGTCCAGCCTGGGGACAGAGAGGATAGTCTAAGTCCTCCAGAGAGGGACTCACTCCTCCCAGGCCACACGGGTACCCCCTGGTGGCACGGAGCAGTACTGTCCTGTGTCCCACAGGCCAGTGTTCTGCATCCGCAGAATGTCATGTGTAACACGCAGGACAGCCCCGACGGCCTCTGCAAGTTAAGGATTCCAGGTGCTCTGTATTATCCGATCTCACTATCCACAATTAACATTGTAAACCAAGTTAGCAACAAAGTCGAAAACATTGCAGTGAAAAGTTAAGAAATCTCCACTTGAACCAGAATATTAGGACCAAAAATTTATGAATTAAAGTGGAGTAGAGTCAGGAAGGATCCATGGGCATGTAATTTTTTTTTTAATGTAGAATTTCCTATAGTCTATTCACTTTGGCGGGGCAAACTTCACGTTAAAATATTGTTCTTGGAGGAAGTGGTCTTCGAAAGGAAACATTAAAAGGGTAAAGGGGGCAGCTGTAACAGTTTGATATATAGTTATAATACTATATAAGAACCACCATCTGGATAGAACTCAGAGTAAGGTCTTGGATCACAGATGACCAGATCCTAACCAGATGCCTTAGCCTGTTCCTACTGCTGTAACACCTTACACTGGGTAATTTATAAACAATAGAAATTTATTTTTGACAGTTCTGGAGACCGCAAAGTCCAGGGTCAAAGTGCTACCAGATTTGGTGTCTGGTGAAGTCTTGCCCTCTGCTTTCACGATGGCCCCTCTTGCTGCATCTTCACACAGCAGAAGTTGGGGGAAGGCCAGACAGTTCTCTGAAGCCTCTTTTATAAGGGCATTAATTCCGTTCATGAGGGCAGAGCCCTCATGGCATAATCACTGCAGCAACCATGGGAGCCCTGCACGTCCCTGCCCCAGGATCACGGCAAGCATCCCAGTGTGTGGCACAAGGAAACAGGAGGGGCTGGGCTGAGTCCTCATTGGCTGCCCCATGGCTGATGCAGTCCGGTGTGCTGAACGCCTGCACCCCGGGATGCCACTCCAGAGCCCCGCTGTGCTTGACCTTCCACCTCCCAGCCCTGGCTTGCCCCTGGAGAGCTGCAAGCTGCTCACAGGCTGTGTCGCACAACGACCAGCCTCTGCAAGCAAGCGGCCCACAGCAGCCACTCCTTTGGGTTCCACATTCACCTCCTGCTGAGCCTCTGAGGAAAAGAAAGCCATGAATTCCTGTCCCTGCTCACAGTCTCAGCCACCCACTGGGTCCAATCTCCGCACTTAAAGCACCTGCATTTTCCCCAGCTCTGGAACCACCCAGCTTAATCCTCTTCAATGGGAGTAGAGGAAGAGCTCTTAAATTGCTCTACTGGGAGCCAAGGGAACATACAAGTAGCAGAGACCCCAACCCAGACTACCTTAAGAGAAAAGAAAAATTCTAGCTCACATAATAGTCCAAGGGTAGAGCTTGATCAAGGTATTGAATTACGTTACCAGAACAAGTCGCCTCTCCTTCCGTCCTTTACTTCTTGCACGTTGACTGTATCTCTGACCACCTCTCCCCTGGTGGAGCAAGATAGTTGCCGCGTTCTAGGTTCGTGTATTCTTTAACTGAAGTCGAGTGGAAATGAGTTTCAGCCTCTCCCAGCAGTCCCAGGAAGAGCTTTGGTGCATCTTATTAGCTTTGGCCTGGGGCACAGTCCCATCCCCGAGCTATCCCTGTGGCCAGGGGGAACGCATATCTGATTGGCCAGCCCCGATTTGTGTGCTTACTCCTGGAGCTGGGAATAGTTAACACCATCTGAAACTAATGTGGGTATGGCAGAAGAAGTAGATCTCTAGAAGAAAACCGGGATGCTATTATCAGAAGAGGAGAATGGATGCAGAATGTCCACAAAATACATCTGTACTTCATGTTTTTCTTAATCACAGATATGTTCTTAGTGACACGCTTCACCAGTGTGATGGTTGCCGCAATGAGGGAAGAGCAGGTGCCAACGGAGCCCACACAGGGCTTCTCACCTGCTAGCCTCAGTTGGCTCTGTGAGTTAGGAGACTGAGTGATAAGGCCAGCAGTGGGTCAGCGCAATGGTCTCAAAGTGTGTTCCCTGGGCTAGTAGTGGCGGCATCCCCTGGGAACTTGTTAGAAACACACAGTCTCAGGCCCCATCCCAGATTTACTGAAACTTGAGAGGTGGGGCCCAGCAATCTAGTTTTAACAAGCCCTCTGGGTAATTGTAATGCTCAGGGAAGTTTGAGAACAATTAGGGCTTTGCTACTCAAAGCAGGGCCCGTGAGCTGGCAGCATGAGTATCACCTGGGCTTGTTAGAAATGCAGGATCTCTGGCCCCCCACACACCTGGCCTACTGGGTTAGTAGGGATGAGGAGGGGGCAGCATTTCTCTGAGTGTCCCCTTTGGTCTAGCTTTGGCTTTTAGAGCTGTAGTAATGCTTCCAGCAGTTCTTCAATCATACTAGTTAGAATCTGCATTTTTAATGAGATCCTCCAGATTTATTTGCATATTAAAATTTGATAAGCACTGGGTTAGGGGTCTTGGAGAGTGGATAAGGGGAATTGTGTAGAGAATTGACCAGTTGCACACAAAAGGCCCGCCGAGCAGTGGCACGTGAGAGCTTGTAGACCCTCCATGTCTCAAGCCCTGATCCCCTCAAGTGTGTGATTTCCTCCAGTAGCTCTTAGGCAGCTCGAGTGTAGAAACAAGTCCTGCATTCAGATTGACTTGAGAAGCAGAGCAATCACGTCAGTAAGATAAAAGATTGAGTTAGGCATGCAGCCAGGAGAATGGCCCAAATGGTGCAGAATGGGGGTCTAGGCTGGATAGGCGGGAGGGTGGCCATGAAGAAAGAAAGTGACAGCCTGAATGTTTCTAATAACGTGAAGCAGGCAAAGTGGGCAAAGTTAGACAGCAATGTAGTGGTCCGAGATTGCTATATAGGGTCTGTGGAACTGTTGACAGGTCTAGAAAAAACTGTCCAATAGAGCTTTCTGGATGATGGAAATGTTTTCTTTCTGCACGGTCCAGTATGACAGCTAACACAGGTGGCTGTTGAGCACTTGAAACAAAACTAGTATGACTGCATTACTATAGTTCTATTAATAAAAGCCAAAGCGATACAAAAAGGGACACGCAGAGAATGTTGTTCCCTCCTCATCCCCATGAATCTGTTCCAATTCCTCTCTCCTTTCCAACCCTTTTTAACCCACCCTCTGTAAGTAACCATTCTCTTTCATTTATGGCTTATTGTTCTGTATTTCTCTTGCACAAAAGTGCTGATAATGTGTGTTTTCTTATATTATCTTTTTTTTTTTCTCTTTCCTTTTGGTAGAGATGGGGTCTCACTGTTGCTCAGGCTGGTGTCAAACTCCTGAACTCAAGCTGTCCTCCTGCCTTGGCCTCCCAGAGTGCTAGGATTACAGGTGTGAACCACCTGGCCCGGCCTGTTCCCTTCTTACATGAAGCATAGCTTTGCACTTTGCTTTTTTCACTTAAGAGTGTTTCAGAAATCACTCTAAATCAATTCATAAGGCTTTTACTCATTTTCTTTAAGCTGCCTCGACCTTGACCGTGTGGATGTGCCATAATACTTTCCACCATTCTCCTATGTATAATAAGCATTTAGGTTATTTCCAACATTTTACATTTACAGCAGACAGTGCTGCAGTGAATAACATTGCAGCCTGTGCAAATTCAAAGCAAAGGAGCTAGATAATCTTAGGCTGTATAGCAAACTGTGAACCCCTGACATGGCCATCCCCATAAGGCACCTGCACGTTTTACTCCCCACTTTTAGACTCTGTGTAGTCATGCCCTGGAAACATGACCAAGTGGCAGATTGCTTGGAACTCTGGTCACCTCATAAGTGGGCCCAGTAAACACTTCTCAGCAGCAGCCATTCCCCTGCCATTCTAGAGTAGGAGCTTTCACTTTAACCTGCTCTTTCCCAAGTCAACTTTCATGACCTTATTTTCATCTTAGGTTGGCTCCAATCCCTGCCCCCAATCTTTTCCTCTAGCTGAGAGGCTCAGAAATAATAAAAATCTGTCTTGCAATAGGTTACACTTCTAGAATGCTCATCTTCCCCAAGGATTCATTCACATGGGAGTTATTCTTTGGGTTTCCTGTTGAAGTATTCTGAATGTTTACTGGCCTATTTAAGCCAGAGCTCCACAACAGCGGGCATTAGTGGCATCAGGGAAGGCCACATTGTCCTAAAAACTTTCTATAAGATTTATCTCCATTCATCTGGGAGAAGATCCATTGGGAATTCACCAAGCTAGCTTAAAAAGGCTAAGAACCAGGGTAATAAATTCTATATTTGTTTTTTAACGTAGGTTGATTAGAGGGGAAGGTACTGGTTGGGGGCCACCCTCAAACTCCTGTTCACTTAAAAGATTACTCATTTTATGTAAAAAAATCTTAATGCAGTAATTTTATACACACTTTTTAAAAAGTATTTAAGGTGCATATTAAATACATCTTTTGGACTTGGACAAGCAAAACTAAACAGCAAATATTTTAAGTTGTGCTTACTTTTTTTTTTTTTTTTTTTTGAGACAGAGTCTCACTGTGTTACCCTGGGATCTTCTGAATTTGGGCACAGGCAGATCTGAGAGCAACCTCAAACTCCTGGGCTCAAGCGATCCTCCTGCCTCAGCCTCCCAAGTAGCTGGGACCACAGGCACGCGCCACCATTCCCGGCTAATTTTTTCTACATATATTTTTTAGCTGTCCAATTAATTTCTTTTCCATTTTTTGGTAGAGACGGGGTCTTGCTCTTGCTCAGGCTGGTCTCGAACTCCTGAGCTCAGAACGATCTGCCCGCCTCGGCCTCCCAGAGTGCTAGGATTACAGGCGTGAGCCACTGCGCCCGGCCCAAGTTGTACTTACTTTTAAGACTAATGACCATAAAGATAAAAGAATTCAACATGTTTCATGAAGTTAAAGGACATTTTATTTACTGACAGATTAAAAACCGTAACTCCAGGTAGTGCAAAAGGCACCACTGAACCCAATTACAAAGAATGGGTGTTAACACACAATGTTTAAGCAATGCTACACTTATTTTTGGCAAAGTGCTGTATTGTTCAATCTGTACAAAACTGACCATCTATGAACCAATCAGTATAAAAAATTTCTATAAAAACAAAAAAATTTAGACAGTGGCTCAAGAAAACAAGCTGCCATTTATGCATAGATTGATATACGGTATATAACCTAACCAAATGTCCCTTTTGAGTTTTCAAGTTGATGGAAAAAAACAAAATTTGTGTCCAGAAACACATTAAGAAGGCACATAGTACACTCTACAATACTCTTCAGTCTCCATAACTCATGCCCTGCCATTGAAAAGCAAATGTGTTCACAATTTTACTTGAGAAAAAAAACAAAATCACTTCTTTTTTTTAATAACACACACAATTATTGATTAAAGTTCAAAACCTCTGGAGGAAAACAACCAAAAAGCAAGCAAAACCACTCATACACTCCAAGCTTGAAAACACACACATCTAACCTCCCCAAGTACTGGTTTGGTTTTTTGAAGTCCACCTAGAAAACAAATACTAAAACTTCAGGCAAACACAGAGCAAAACTGGGCATTTAACAATTACACAATTTTTAAAAATGTCAAAGAAAATTCTCAATGATATACAAAACATTATCCACTTAAGCTGCCTTCCTTTGAATAGTAACTTTTCCTCCCACATAAAGCATACTGCTGCAAATAAGATACCCTTATCTGTTTGCTTTCCAGTACCTCTTTCTCCACCCTAAATCACCTTAGTCAGTGTCAAATTTCAAGTGAAATTGGTACATGGCAAGGCTGACACCAATGTAAGTTTTCTAAATAAAGCATTTTATATAAAATTTTAAGCATTACAGTAAGTAGATGGGGATGCCATTTATAATATATCAGCATGGCAGATGGCAGTGCAACCATCATGATAGAAGCCCGACTTATAAAAGAGTTTAACCAATATTTACAGGCCTTATAAAATAAAGATAATTTTAAGGTAACATTACAAACATATACTAGTATCTCCTAGTACAAGGAGCAGTCTCTTAACTGATTCTAAAAACAAAAACTAATACTTGGAAACTCAGACTTTTCCCACTAGTCTATTTAAATGTAAATGTCTATCTTCTAGTTGGAGTCCTTCATTTTTTTTTGTTTCCAACTCAAAGAAAATGAGGATAACGAAGATACCCTTCCTTGCTCTTTTTTCTTAAGAATATATAAATACAACATATTTCATTGAAGAGGAAGAGAAATGGCAAAGAAACTCAGATTTCAACAAAGATGAGGATTACAAACCAGTGTACTATACAGATTTGAGAAGCAAAAACAATAGGCTATGCTGCACAGCACTCTCAAGTTTTAAGTAAACTGTCTTCTCACTAGAATCAAAGTACTAATGCAACAGAGAAGATATGTAAACAGGAACAGTCTGCATGGGAATTGGAAAAATGTTCAGGAAATTAATATTAAAAAAAGGTCTCTGCAATAGGAAGTCAAAAATCCAATCACTTTGCATCTTCTGCAAAAAAATTCCCCACACAACTAACCATATAAATGCATTGCCACAGAAGATAAATAATGGATGGCTCTAATCTTCAACTTACAGTGCAGTACATAACTCAGTTGAGGAAGAAAAAGTAATAAACATAGGACATATTAAAAAAACGTTTTATTAAAAACAAACTTTGAGAAACATGGTGCATTATAAAACTAAGAAATGCATTCACGAAGCACTGCTCATGTGCACCACCTATTCCAGACTTTCACCAAGTAACATTCTGTTATCAGTTTAGAAACAGAGTTACTAAACTCAGAGGGGTCTTATTTCTCACTGCTTGAATTTCTAAGAAATACGCACTAAAGCACACTGTAAAGCACTGATATTTACAACAGAAAAAATAATATAAGCTCATAATAAAATGCATTTTGGCCATGTTTCAGAGAATACTTAACAGGTCAACATTGTTGTGTGTTATTATTATTGGCCTTGTGTCCTACACACAGTAGATGCCTACCATCTAATGACCAAGAACTTCCACTGAATTATGTAACCATTTTCTTTAATTTTTACGTGTGCCAATTTTAGTAGACACTGACACAGAAACCACAATTATGATGTCACAGGTGGTGTCGTAATCCTAACCTAGTGACTGAAATTTTTTGTTTTCAAGGTACAAAGCATAAAAAACTAGGTCCAGATAAGGCAAACAAAAAGTCAATAACTGATAAGAGATATGAATGTATTTAAAGTATCAGGAAATCTGAAAGAAAAAGACCATTGCAGTTGTATATACAAATCTGTTCATGCTGCCAAACAAATTCTCATGGCTGAACTTTTGTAGCTTGTGAGGTACTAACGACTTACATGCAATATATGAAAAAGAGACCCCGTGTATATTCGGAGGCTTACATCCTGAAGACAGTTAGCTGGTCTATTTTCAAGTTACCAACCTATGACCCTATAACAGACACGCTGTAAAACATACACACCTTCATGAAAGCTCTACATTATCTCCCAACTCTGGTAAACACAAGTAGTAACAAAATAACTTCTAACTCAGTTTGACAAAACTTTACAGACTTGGCCCCTAATTAGAAAACAAATAAATAAAGGGAAAGTCAAAACGGAAGGGGCAATTAGGAGAAAAGGGGCGTCGAGACTTGTTCTAAGGAGACATCCTGGCACTCATCACAGCCAGTGGAAGAACAACCCAAAACCACCACCCAGCTACACCTCTGACCTCTTCCAACTACCAGTGCTCCAGTCTGGTCGGCAAAGAGCACAGCTCTTCCCTTAAAGTCTTCCAGGGTTCCCTGCATCACGCTGCTACAGGGTTACTGAAAAATATAATACTTTACATAACTAGATGCTGTTTTTTTCCTTGAAAACATTTTACAGATGTGTGTAGATGTATTCATTTAATTAGTTGCAGAGAAGATGGAAAAATAAGCTGTTTGATTACGAAGATGATGCTACTGCTCTGTCACTAGAAAGTGCTTCAGATTGTAGATGTATTTACTTAATTTCAGAGGAGACTGGTGAGAGTGTGGGTGGCTCAGCAAAACCCATCACAACTGCTAAAAAAGGAAGTGACTGTCTAGAGGTACGGAAGAGATTTTCTCTGTGTTGAGTCAACTGGCCTACATGTGAATCGAACCCTGCACCCTGGCCTCATTAGCACCAACACTGAAGAACAGCTGTGGCAGAGAAATTGCCTCAGCCTCACTCCATCGCCAGATTCAGCAGAAAGGCCCTTGGAATTTCCTACAAGGCTCAGTTCTGGACAGCCCCACTTCAAATCAGCATAAATCCTCACAGCTCTGTGAGGGAGGTATCATTACTCCCCTGTCGGTGGAAGAAACAGAGGCCAGAGTGGTTAAAGACTTTGCCTGAAGTTAAAACAAAAAAATGAAAAGTCAAGGAAGCCAACCTGTCACTGTTTCACTTAGACGCTACGAAAGACATGACCAGAAATTCCTCCTCACCCTTGCTTATCACTTGGCAGGACAGACTCCATGGCAGAGGACTTCTCACTGTATCTGGAAACATAAAGCCTCTTTCCCATGGGCAAATATAAATATGAATCATGCAAGTGCCTGGACAAGTACTTCTGAATTTACAGCTGATATGAGGTGGGGAGTAGGCAGAGCTGGCAGGAAGAAATAAAAACAACTTAAACACTGGACTAATGGGTTAGCTATAGACATGAATTTTTCCAAATATAATTTCACAGGTCTAATTTAATCCCTCTGCATGTGAGACAAGTGCTCTTGTCCATGACACCTATAATGTCTGTACCACGTCACATAGTCACATTGGAATTTCTCAATGCACTGTTCACTAAAGCTTAATGTACCTGAATTCCAAAATGAACTGCATGACGAATCTGAAAAAAAAAAAAAAACCCATACACACAGAAATATATCAAGTTTTCTTTCAAAGAAAGTCCAGCCATAATTCCATTATATCCATGGCAACTATCACCTGTTAATGCTCATGTTAGTGTGTAAAAATGTATTCATTATATACAGAAAAGATTATCAAGTACTGGTCAATAAAGTGTATGGCTGACCCTGAGAATAAATTTTTGCTTACTCAAAAGATTAAGTAATACAAAATAAAATGAAATTGAAAGATACCTCTTCTTGTACTTGGGAAGAAATGTCTTTAAAATGCTAACTCGTGTACACTTTAACAGATTTAAAGACATCCCCAAACACCAAACACTGTAATTGTATTGATATGTTTCCAAAAATAGTCTGAAAAAATTTACAAAAAAGTAACTGTTAAGAGCAAGGCATTATGTGATACACAGCATATATAAATCTAGTTTTCAAGATAGTGTCTAAACACACTGAATAAAACTATGTGATTGGTCATCAGTTGGCTGTAAAGAGACAACATTTTCATTGTACAAATATGCACATCCACACACTTATGCACAAACCAAGAGAAAACAACCAACAAAACTTGAAATTCTTAGTAATTGTACTGACGCGGGCAGGGCTGATGAACAACCCAGCCATTGTGCTTGACTTGCCGAGAGTGGCAATCCCTGGTAAGATTTTGGCGACGAAGGCTATTTCTGTTAAGAGACTGTCTTTCACTATGTTCTTTTATCCACTGCGAAGGGCGAAAGCTCTTGGGTTGTTCCAGAAAAGTTGTGTGAGCAGTAAGAGCTGCAACATAGCAATGAATGTGCTGCCCCACTTCATTTTGAGCTTCCACTCTGAAACAGAAAAAAGTGGGGGATGCATTAAATAAAGGAGTATGTTATTAATGAAACTGAAAAAGTTACTTAGTAATTCAATTGCCACACTAATTTGTTTATGGTTGATTGGGAGCTTAGTGTCTCATGGCTGACAGATAAGTTTATTTTTTTCTGACCACACTGACTGATAGCTGGCGTGTGAGCCAACTTTTAATAGAAATATGCCGTTTAATCCACGGATGGCTAAGTAGACTATATTCTAAAAATATGCTTTATACTTTGAGTGAATTTCAGTTACAGAGTACATATATTTATATAGGCTTTTCTGGGAGGGGAATTAGCATTTATTGAATATCTACATTTGCTAACTGTTTTATAAATGTTATATACTTTAATTCTCACGGTAATCTTAAAAGGAAAATATTTTAATTCCCAAATTTTACTGATCAGAAAGTATTGTGCCAACAGTACCTTCACAGACATTTTCTGTCATAAGTAAAATGTTCTAGGAAGTACACCGTAAATCTATATTTCATAGCAATATGCATAAGGAAATTCTACTCATTTACCATTTTTCTAGGTCAGAAGCTATGGCTTATTATAGAAGACAACTCCTAAGTTTTTATTTATATCACAACAGGGCACATTTTGGAACAGCATTTACATGGCAATATTATAAAGACTTTTATAGAACACATAATTGTAAAATATGGCTACACACAGTATAATTATATTTTCTATATAAAAAGCTAATCAAGCAGAATTGATCTAAACTATGTTAATACATAACATGAAGAGAAAGGGCAGTTATATATTCTGCCTAAAATCACTTGAGGAAAACACTTTTATCTTTTTATATATATATATATATATTTACTTATTTTAAAAAGCAGAATTAAAGCAGGTCACATTAAGAAACTAATAGAAAGAACATACAGAAAGTGGTTTTTAGGAGGGCGGCATGTGAGTCCTTAGCCTCCTGTGCAGACTCATAACATATCATACAGTCTCAAAGTCAATGTACTTACTCTGTGCCCGAGAGTCCTATAAGCAGCTTTTCCTGGCCCTACAAATGTTAAATGGTGAACTATTAAATCACTAATATGATTTAAAATGCTATTTTAATTTTACGATTAGGATGTGTTCAACTTTTCTTTATTAAAACTGGTCTACTGTGTGTCATTAAAGGCACATATATTACTTAAGATTATGATGGCATATAAACCTTCACAAACAATACTTATAAAGGCTAAAATTCAATCAAATGCACACTCCAAAGCCCACTGTAATTACAAAGCACCTTACTTTTATGTGCTTTATGTATTATTTCCAAGGATAGACACAATGAAAGCAATGTAAATTCTGAAAGACAATTATTTTTTGCTCAGAAAACACAGATGCTTACTACATAGCTAGCCTCCTAATTTTGGTAACACCTGATTTCTATATTGATTTAGCAGGTTTTATAAGAATTTCAAATCTAAAAATAAGGATGTTAAAAAATTTTTAGTTACTGTTATTAAACTATAATATGTGCAGAAAGAATTAATATGAAATTCTTTCTGTTCTTTTGATCCTTTATACATGGGAAAGTACATATTTAACTATCCTCTATGTTATATCTAATATATGAGTGCAAAAACAAACAAGGTACAAAAACAACATTCTCACTGCATCGAAACCACAAACACACAACAACCAGATGCAGTGCATGGTCCTAGATTGGATGGTTTGGACAAACTAGATGAAATATTCTCAGCATTATTAGGGAAATATGAGTATAGTTTGAGTAGCAATTAAAGTAAAAATGGCTGGGCATTGTGGCATGTGCCTGTAGTCCTAGCAACTTGGGAGGCTGAGGCAGGAGGATCATTTGAGCCTGGGAGTTCAAGATCATCCTCAGCCTCCCAAAGTGCTGGGATTATAGGTGTGAGCCACCATGCCCAGCCCAAAAAATTGTATTTTAAATTTTTGTTGGAATGCCTGAAACACCTCTTACTAAACTTACAGCACTGAATTAAGTGCCAGTTAAAATAACATTTCCCATCAAAGATCTTACCCAGTATATAGACTGGCACCATGTAGTTATATAAGAAAGTTGTTTTTCATTTTGGTACAAGCAAAATGAAATGAAATACGTTTAGCCTCATAAAAGATCATCTACAATATTGAAACTTAGTAAACCCTAGTAAAGTTAACAAATTAATGGGCTACCTGGGCTTTCTTTATATTTGGAAAACAGGAAATAGCAAAAGATATATACAACGGTCTACTTAGTAGAGTCAGAGCCTGGACAATCCAAAAGGAGGCCCTTTGGATGACAGCATTAATGACAGGAATATTGTGAACTGCTCCAAAGGATCTAAATTCACCTGGATTCCTAACCTAACAGAAGGAATTAAGTTAGTGCTTAATTCCTAAGCACTAGGAGAAAGCTGACCAATAATTGCTTGGGGCAGTAGTCAGGCAGATTAATCAAGACAAAAATTGAAAAATTAGCAAGAGTCCCTTTGTTCAACCCTTTGCTGAGGACACAAGGCCTCATATATACCAGTGGGTAAAATGGTCAGGAGGTGGTGAAGAGAAATTCCTGGGACTCACTGACATGGGAGCCCCATGCACTGTGGTACCAAGATCCATTGGTGAAGCCCTGACTCAGGCCACAGTTAGACTGAGAGAACATAAAATGTTAGAGTTGATACGATTATGAGAGTTGGAGTGTTTTAACAGCCTTTATATAAAGGAGCTGTATCTCCTTTACCCAAATATTTTATGGGAATGAACATTGTATCTGCCTGGGGGATGTTCCCCCTACCTAGTGCCGCAAAACAAAAGGCATGTAAATCCGTCCTTCAAGCAATATTAATTGGACATGTTAAACGGGAACCAGTAAGACTGGCCAAGCCCGCAGTGTAGAATAAAAACTGGAACGCTGGTGGGGACAAATTCTCCGATAAACCCATGTGGAATGTAAAAACTCGAGCTTATGGCAAAAGACTGTGAGCACCTCTCAGCAACTACTACTGGGAATTTGGACTAGAGAATTTCCACCTGGGGGGCATTTACTACCCTTGCTGTGGGACATTAACTGAAGCTACCCCTATGACTGAAAGACATAAAGTGACCTTGAAACCTGAAATACCCATGATGTCTTGGGTATTCTAATAGGGATAGTAGTGCCTACAACAGTTCCATAATAAAACGGAAATGGTTTATACAGGATCATGCCACCCAGGGAATGCAAGGAGGAGATATAAGCAGGGAGCCTCTTTTCCCCTAAGATGGACTCTGGAACTGTCTGAAGACCTGCTGGATTCTATTGTCACTTCGACAGTGACCTATAAACAGCTCTAAAGCGACCAAGAGATGCTTGGTTTGTACGTCGCAGTTCCAAGGTGAACAGATAACATCCTATTTGGAAGGATGCCACTCTGATCAAAGAAGGTAAAAACACATGAGCTCACTGGGTTGAACTGCATGCTGTTTTCCTAGTGGTGATGGAGGAATTGAGCAGTGGAGCCCCTGGTGTTTGGGTTTTTACTGACTCATGGGCAATGGCCAATTGTCCGACCACATGGTCAGGCAGAAGGGCAATGAAAACCTGGCCTTTTAAAGGGCTGCCCATATGGGGTACAGCTCTATGGATATTTGAGGAGTCCATAAAGTAGGACACATCAATGCCCATCTGAAGAGCCACCTTCCAGGTTCAGAAGGTGACTGGAATTGAAAGCAGATATCCCTGTGGCCTTGAGGTGGCCACCTGGTCCATGAAATGAGTGCATATGGGGTACTGCCGCAGTGCAGATGGGCTCAGTCTAGGCACATTCCTTCTAGGCACACAATGCCAGTAAGAACTGTTCTGTCTTCCAGCAAAAAAGACAGAGACTGCAGAACGCTGTGGGATCGCTGGTGGGAAGGCCCCTGAACGGTGCTGGCAAGTGAGAGTAATGCCCACAAGCCTGGGGGGCTACAAATGGGTCTTAACAGTAATAGACACTGACTCTGGACTCAACTCTAGAAATACCAGGTAGAAGATGCAAATACTTAGAGTTCCACAAAAAAGATACTGCATGGATTTGGATGGACAACCATCATCTCTTCAGACCAAGGAACACACTGTACAGTCATAATGTCCAATAATGGACAGAGAGAGATTCTCCTCAGAGTAATACTAGTTTGACAGAGAAGTAGAAGGGACAGGTAAAACAGTGGTTGTCTAAAATAAGGGGGAGATAAAAGCATGAATGGCTGCCTTCCACACCTTCATGAGTGGGTACTCACACTCAACAGGACTGGGACTAAAGGACTGTCTCCACTAGATCCTTCTCTGTTTTTCTGGCTGATCTGGGGAAGAGGGGCTGGAAAGCTGGGACGACTATGCAATTCTTGCTAAGGGAAGAGTATGCTGGTATTAATATAATGACTATAATTTTTTTCTTCCCCACATCACCTCAATTTTTCCCCCTACTCAATGCAGTGGTACTAGGACCAGGGCTGCAATTACAAGTACTAGAAGCAGGAATGATTCCTAAGCAAGAAACTAACTATGTTTTTAAACCTTATGTCAGAATTCCTGAGGGCCTGATAGGGGTGGGTTTTGCCTTCACCCCATCTGGCAAAATTGGGGCTAACAGTGAATGCGGCTACACTGCCTGGTGGTGAAGGTTCCCCCCTAGTTCTGCACCTGTGCAACCTCACCCGATCTGAAGGGCAGTGGGCTGAGGGGGAGGTACTTGCTGGACTAGTATGCTGCCTGCAATCTAGACCAGCACAGTGGCTAAACCTGATGTCCCTTCCAAAGGTGGAAAAGTCTGGGTATAAATAAAGAGAAGGAGGATAAAGGAACAAATAAATGGGTTATAAACTGAGAGAAATCCAATAGTACATTAACACCTCAAAAGAGGCTAAGAGCAAGAGATGACATTGTCTCTAAGCTCAATTATACCAAATGCCTGAAAGGGTGAAACTGTGTGTTTGCCAAGACCATTCCTGCTTTTGGAACCTGACAAGATCAATGAAGCCTGAAAACCTGAGTGGCCTCACCTTGGGAGACATATTCATGCAGTATGATGACAGACTGGATGAACAGCAATGACTGAATGGGATCCTAGTAATGTGCCAGTATCTTTTGAGTTATTCTATATATCCTTTTGTTGTAAGGGATCCAAGTGCAAAGACTGGAGGTGGATACGATATTGTGAAACATTATTTGGTCTTTCTCAGTCTCCTGACATACAAATTCCAAAATCCTTGGAATCTCCAAAGTGGAAAGTGTTTTTTTGTATGCTAATGATTAACAGATGGCAAGCAGCCCCATGGCAGCTTCAGGATGGGATCTGGTCACCAAAAAGACCAAGGCAGGGTTAGAGGGTTGGGACTTCCAGCACTCCGCACTCCAACCTCTAGGAAGGGGAGAGGGCCTGAAGGTTAAGCTGATTACCAATGGCCGATGACTTAATCAATTGTGTCTATGCAATGAAGCTTCCATAAAAACCCAAAAGTACTAGGTTCGGGGAACTTTCAGATAGCTGAACACCTGAAGGTTCCTGGAGGGTGGTGTACCCGGAGAGGGCATGGAAGCTCTGTACCCCTTCTCACACTCCCTGCCTTACACATATCTTCATGTGTTTCCTTTTTAATAACCTTTGTAATAAACCAGTAAACATGAGGAAGCATTTCCCTGAGTTCTGTGAGCTGCTCTGGCAAACTAATCAAACCCAAGGAGGGGGTTCACAGGAATCCTGATTTTATAGCTGGTCTGTCAGCAGCACAGATTAAATGACCTGGTGCTTGTGATTGGCATCAGAAGTAGGGGACAGTATTCGGGACTGCCCTCGACCTGTGGGATCTGGCACTATCTCCAGGTAGATAGTGTCAGAATTGAATTGAATTAGAGGACACCCACAGGGTATCTGCTGCTAGAAGACTGCTTGCTTGGTGTGCAGGGAAAAACCCCCACATACCTGCTTGTCAGAAGTATTGTGTGACTATGTTGTGAGAGTAAAGCAGGAAGAAACTGAGTTTGCTATTTCTATATTCTAAGACAAGATCTTCAAGGGTTAGGTGTCATTTGATGTGACTCAGCTAGGAATACTTAGAGGAAGATAAGTTTTATTTAAAGATATAATATTCTAGTTGAATGATACCCTAAATAATCCAGTCTATAAAGTGTCAGAGTTATATTCTAAGGTACTTAGCAGAAATGCCAGTCTTCTATTTCTAGTCAATAGCAGAATTTTATGAGACAGCTTTCTATTATATATAACTGGGGCTATGCTACAACTAACTTTTTTAAAAATCTAAAATGAACAAGCTTTTCTATAACATTGATCACCTTGTGCACTATGCACATGCTTTTATAAATCCCTAACAAAATTACTTTTGCATCTGCTAAGAACTTAACTTTGAACTATAGTAGAAATAAATAAAATGCATGCTCAGCAGACCATCCAGGGAGTAAAATACTTGCAACGTACCTGGGACTACTTGGGCTATGAAGTTCATCAGGCCCGCAGTTGGCCTCACTGAGACCAGGGCAGGAGTTATGCACAGCATAGACAGACATGCTGGGATGTTCGATGAGAAGGTTTTCCATAGGACTTGTTTCCACCTTGATAGTGGTTAATCCACCTGCAGTAAAACACGGGGGAGGGGTGATAAACCAGCTCTCCTCCATTGGACAGGACTCAAACTGGAGGAAGCAGGAATCACTTGGATCAGCCAAGCATTCAAGAGATGCAGGTAAACAGGAAAAGACTGAAGGGTGCTCAGTAGGTGACTCTTCACTGATGCCGTCATCATCGTCTTCTTCTTCTTCCGCTGAGAAGCCAGTGCAAGTGTCTAGATTGTAGTCCACATTGCAGTCCATGTTTGTTGTTGGAGAGTTCCATGGGAGGAATATCATCACATGGAGCAGTCATTGTAAAGCCGCCAATCAAATTCACAGCACAGAAAAGGAAAAGATGATACTGTTAGCTGATGTTCACATTCCTTCCTTTAGTTCAGAAACAAAACTATTTATAGTCCCTCATAATGATTATAAAATAATTTCTGAGCATTTTGTGTGTGTGTGTGTGTGTGTGTGTGTGTGTGTGTGTGTGTGTGTGTGGCGTCACTGTATGGGATGGAGTATGTTGGCTTTGCAGGAATGGTTTTAGGACTGTTTCTCCTCTGCTGAATAAACATATAATGAGCCATATGCGTTCCTGCTCGTCTCACGTGAGGGTTTCCTATGCAAGTGCCTCGATTTGATCAGGCTACAAGAGTTGCACAACTGGAAAGTCTGATGTCAGTCAATTTCACTGACTATCTGGCATAGGATGTTTCCTGCCATTTTTTTAGACAAAGTCTTGTTTACTTTTAAGGGTTAAAAACCTTCAGTTACTGGTTTACTTATGCAAAAATGGAGAGGCAAGAGTTTCCACTTTCACTGTGAAAATTAACCAGAGTACACCTTACCTATGAAGTCAACAAGAATCCACTCATCATCTTCTTTCTCACTAAATTCTGGTTCTTGGTTGGAAGAAGTATTGACTTCACCCACAAACATTTTATTCAGCCTCTGGAACATTGTTAAGGCAAGATTGAGACTTTGGCTGGGTGTCTTTATAGCTGAGATTTCAAAGTCTTGTCTTCAGTTGGCCCGAGGGTACCGACAGGAGATTAAAGTGCACAGGGTGCTTATTCAATTTAGGTGAACAGCAAGAAGAGTCATTATCCCTAAAATAAAACAGAAAAAGGAGATCATTTAAAAATCAGCATATACTTATATGTACGTATGTTGTAAGCACATGCACACACGTACTCTTAGAAGCAAGCATATGCCTCAGCCTACATTCTACAGATATTCCTTTCTGCAGGAGTCAAATGCAAGAAATGCAACATGTAAATATCTTAAAATGGGAAATAAAAGGGAAAGAGTTGTTCTTGTCCACATCTGTGCTTTTATAATTAAGTGGTGAATTTGGGTAACATATTTCAAACTGCAATATCTCTTTTCTGTAAATAGATGAGCAAAATCTAGATATTAACACACTTGCTGTATGATATTCAACTGAGGTCTTCCAGTGGACCCAGCAACAGTGCCCGGTGACTCCCATGAAGCCAGGCCCTCATCTTGACCTGGCTCACTTTCCCTTCTGTTCTCTATTCTTTGTATATGGCTGCAAGCACACCTAATTGCATATAAAATCTATAAGCACAGCATACTTTGGCCTTCTAAACAATTCCTACAGCTGGCATGGAGAAATTTGCACCATAGAAGACTGAGCTTGGCAGCACCTACAACTGGAAACACCACTCCTGTGTGGTGGCTCAGCAGGTGGGTGCTGGAGTCAGTGGGCCTTGGTTCAAATCCCAGCTCAGCCACTCACTCACTATATGAGTCAGGAAGTTACACGGCTTCAGATGACAATTGTTCCTATCTCAGGTAGTTCTGATGAGTTCTAAATAAGGAACTTCAGCCTTGATCTTATTCCACAGTTCCAGATTTATGTATCCATTTCTACCTGGTTACCTGATGGCCATATCAAACTGAACACATACCAAAAACAACTTTTAATTTTTTCTCTACAAATTTATTCATACACATCCCCTCTCAGTAAACAGTAGCAGTCAGCAGTTATTCAGACTAAAAACCTAGCAGTAACCACCGCCCCCCCCGACTTTTTTTTTTAAGAGATGGAGTCTCGCTCTGCTGCCCAGGGTGGAATGCAGTGGCATGATCATAGCTCACTGAAGCCTCCACCTCCTGGGCCCAAGTGATCCTCCCACCTCAGCCTCCAGAGTAGCTGGCACTATAGGCATGCACCACCATACCCAGCTACTTTTTAAAAATTTTTTTAGAGATGTGAACTTGCTACATTGCCCAGGCTGGTCTTCAACTCCTGGCCCCAAGTGATCCTCCAGCCTCAGACTCTCAAAGAGCTGGGATTATTTACATCCGACCACCCTTGACTACTTCTGTGCCCTCCCACTAACCCCTCATCTAAACTATCAGCAAATCCCATTGACTCCAGCTGCACAGGCAGCTCGAATCTGCCTCCTTTCCTCAATCCTAAACTTTCATCCTAGTTTAAGCCAATCTATTGTCTCTCCAGGACTTTGCCAAAACCACAACCCAGACAGTCTCCTTGATGCTACTCTTGTTAAATGAGCCAATGCAGGGAATAGGCTTAGCAAGGTACTTGGCACGAACTCCCCAGTCCAGGCCAGCTATTCTCCACACATTTACGGAGCACCTCTTGTGCATCAGGCATAGTTCCGAACACAGGGGAGAGAGCTGTGAATGAGGCCTTCCCACGGGCAAGTGTAACAACCCAGTGTGACGCATGCTATAGAAGTGGTAGTACCAAGTGTCCCTCACACTACCTGAGCAGACTCCTGCCATAGATGACTTTAGTTTTGAGTGACTGAGAAAACCAGGAATGGAGGAAGGGAGAGCAAGAACACCACGGAAGCCAGCGGATGAGTGAGAAAGGGCACCTGTGGTACCACCCTAGGTCCAGAGGGAGGGCCAGATCCTGCAGGGCCTTGTAAGCCAGAAGAAAGGGGAGGAAAAAGTAAAAAAAAAAAAAAAAACAACCTAGGTTTCTGGCTTAGCCAACTGAGGGGAGATGATGGGACCATTTAGGGGTACAGAAATGAATACTGCAGAAAGTATAGGTTAGAGTCATTTCAGACATGCTGAATTTGGGGAATGTGCAAGATGATGCAGGTGGAGATGTATTTAGCTGTTGGGCAGCTAAATACAGAGCTTTGGGACTGAGGAGTACAGTCTCAGCTGGGGGCACAGGTCTGGGAGCTGTTGACACAAAAGGGGTGAAAAAAAACCACGATGAGATCACCCAGGGCTGGTAAAAAGCATCTCACTAACCAACACTTTTTATCACAAGCATCAGCCTTGAATCCACAACTCCAGACTCCTGACAGTTCACTTTTAAAACCACCTTTAGCTGTAGAAGTAGCTGGGTCTGTAGCAACGAGACTCCTGGTTCAATCCCTAGTATGTACACTGGACTGCTACGATTGTTTGGCACACTACTATGAGAGTAAAACATTTCAAATAAATGCCATTAGAACACTTTTGTGGTCACAATTCATCATCTTCAGCCATTAATTATTAGAAGCGGGTAAACAGGAAGTGTCACTTGCATAATCAGTCTTCCTGAAACCTTTTGGAAAGCAACATAGCCAAATCATGAAGGCTGGAGCTCTAGTATGACAATTCAAATTTGGCTTTATGTTTCATGTAAGAGAAATGACAAGAAGAATGGATTGTATAGCTAGTTCTCTTGACCCACCGTGGTGTGACAGTTAAGTCTCAAAAGATGAGCTATCACGAGGTCTGATGTAAAGGTTTTGAAGGATACAAGGTAGGAGGGAAAAAGATATTTTCAAAATATTTCCCCATTTCTCTTAAGTGGTGGAGGCAGATATTGGCACCAAGTACAATTCTGTGTCAGCTGAGACAGTTGAGAGAATCATCTCAATTCTCCAGGGCACAGTGCTGGGCTTTGGCCCTGCATGAGCTAAGCACCCAGAGCCATGGGTTGGGGAGGGGAGAGCCCCACAGGGGAACCCTTGCTCATCCTGGATGAGCGCCTTGTTCCCTCCTGTGATGCTGCATGAGTGGAAGGCACTGCCACCCAGGCCACACATGCAGCAACTACAAGACAGGAGATATTGCTGGGGCAGCTGCTGGGTTCCCAAGCACAAACTGCCCCCTCTGGCCACAGTGCCAAACCCATGTAATGAAAAGCAGCTTATGCCTGGAATATATGCAATTCCGCTATAGAAAAGGCTCCTCTAGAGTAGCTCTCTAAGGAGCAGCACGAGTCAATGCTCTTTTGGTTTCCTAATGTCAGAGGTTGCCTCCAGATCTCCCATGTCTCTGCAAGGACAACCTACCTCAGGTGGGCATAGTATTGGGAAGCCCAGGCAGGTGAGGGAAGAGCTCATCCTTCATCTCACCTGAGTCACTGCTGGTATTTACTACATGGCACACCTGCTGACACTCTGTGGGAAGGACACAGAGTGGAGTCCTTGGGAAGAGGCGGAAGGAGCACTGGTCTTGACATAAGCAGAATTCTGGCTCTGGCTCTACCACAGGTGGCTGGAGCTACACAATTTGCCCTTCTGAGCCTCAGTCTCTCAGAAAGTGGGGAGACTCTGTTGGATTGCCTCTTCACTGCCTTTCCCCACAAACTTCAAGCACAAAGAAGTGAGGTTGGTCTAACTATGTAAAGTCCGCTTGGCCCTGCTTTCTGTAGGTGTCCCAAGACAAGGGGCTGTTGGAGGGATCCCCCACCATATGCTAAAACTGTCCAGTGAGGTAGCCACTGGGTACATCAGAGAAATGAATACTTGAAATGTGACTAGTGTGACTGAGAAACTGAATTTTTAATTTAATTTTAATCCATTTAAATTTAAAAGTTGATAATTAAGTCAATTTTTAGAAAACTTTCAAGTATGTATGGAAAAACTAGGGCATGTGAAACTTCTTTTTCACCTGTAAATTTTACATTAATACAGGTAAAAATTTTATATCTGAAATGAGATGTGCTGTATGGGTAAAATACATACTATAGTTCAAAGACTTAGTATTTCCCTAGAAGAATGTAAAATATTTCATTATTTTTAGAGTGACTACATGTTGAAACAATAATTTTGACCTATTAGGTTAAATAAAATTAACTTTAAATGTTTCCTTTCCCTTTTTAATGTGGCTAGTAGAAAATTTAAGCATACATATGACTCACATTATATACTTCTGTTGGACAGGGCTGTTCCAGAAAAATATCCCTAAAATCTTAATGGCCTATACTTCTTATGGATGACCCAGAGACTGTCCCTGCCCAGTCACTATTACTCTTGATCTTGGCTCCTGCCCAGGGATGGAGGTTCTCAACGGGACTGCTTCTACATGGAGCTGAAAGGCAAAGCAAAGAGCTTTAGACTTCTCTCCTTCCCACATGGTCACTGACTTTAATAATCACAACTCTAGGGCAATGATAAAACTAAAATGAAAATTCCAGGGAAAGCATGTGTCCTAAGAGGACAAATTTACACATACAGCTCTGGAATTTAGCTAAGAGGCAGAGTCAAAGAAGGCTAGGTGGGGTAGTGCTGCTGTTCTCTGAGGCACCTGCAAGCACTCAGCTGTAACCAACCTTGGCCTAGCAGTCTCCCTGATGGAGAAAAGAAACAAAGTGTCTAGGCCCAAGCATTTCAAGAAGGCAGCTTTGTTTCTGTTTGCTTGACTCAAAATACCTCCAACTCCTCTCTTTTAAAAATAAATTATGTCTTTTTCATTATTAAGAGGACAAAACTACATTATAAAAAGTTTAGAAAATAAATAGGGAAAATAGGTATTATTCCACTGCCTTGCTGCAATCATTGTTAGATACTGGTGCATTTTCTTCTAGTTTTTTCTTCTACATATAAGGTTTCTTTTTATCATAGTTGTAGTCTACTGAATGCACAATTTTGTATCTTGCACTGTTACGTAACATTTTATCATCAATATTTTTCACATTATTACATGAGTAGAGATGCTTAGTGGGCAGAGAAAGGTGGCTGAGTTTAATACTCATGGGAAAGAGCAGTCTGGTTTCAGAATTTAGAAAAGGAGTTGCTACTTTGAAGATCTTGTTAGTATAATTTCTTTTCTCAGTTTAAAGATAGGTAGCCCACCAAAAGGCCATATGTTGTGGTACCTAAAGACCAGTCTGGGGTAGCCTATTCTGTTTGAAATCTTGGCTCTGCTACTGGCAACCTCAGCATATTTAGTAACATCTTGGTGCCTGTTTTCTCATCCTTAACATGAGAATGATGGTTATAATACCTGCTTCACGGTGCCAACGAGAGGCTTAAGTGTACATCACTTAGAATAGCAAGCACTCAGTAAATATTAACTACAAGTTCCTTCCAAGCTAGTTGTGAGACTGTAAGCAAGTCAATTAGCATCTTTAGGTCTGGGTTTCTTCATCCATAAAATGTCTACATAATAATCAAAGCTACAATATACTGATTGCTTATTGTATGTTACAGGGCCTTAAGGTACTTATTTTTCCCCATTTTACTGATGAGGCAATTGAGGCGCAGAAATGAAGTAACTTGCTCAAAGTGACAGCTGGTCAGGGTGGGGCCAGCATTAGAACATAAGTCCCTCTGATTCCAATCCCTTGCTCTTCCCTGCACAGGATCTCTCAGGCTCCCAGCCTCAACTCCAGCTCTAAGAACTTAAGAAAACAGTGCCTTTCAGTTGGTTTTGGCTGCCAGTAGGCGGCTCCAAAAAACATTTTTAAATTAAAAAAAAAAAAACCCACAAGTTTGATGATCTGACTTCTAAATATGTGTACAGTGTGGCTCTTTGACAGCTTCAGCATATCAGGTGGCTAAACACACCTTCATTGAAAAACTGCCTCAAAATTATCTTTCCCTTTATATCCTAACTTCTCCCACTACTTTAAAAAATAAATATGCTGATTCAACTAATTTAAAATCAATTTTGAACTGCAGAAAAACCAAGCCAAGAAAGTTGTCTTTGTTTGGTCCACTCCTACCCAGTCTATTCAACTAGTTTACAAGGAAGGTTGTTCCCCCAGGGACCCACTACTGCCTGCCCAGAAGGCTGAATGACAGTGGACAAAGACAGCAATAAGTGGTAATTCATAGCCTGTTACCCTTGAATTTTGAAAGCAGGGCCATTCCCAAGAGACACAGGAGGGAGCAATTGCAGAAAAGAACAAAAGATAGGAGAGAAAACAAGAGACCTTGGTCACAGAAATGAGTAAGGTCCTGGTTCCAGGCAGGAGCCTTTGAAAAGTATGCTGCCAATTTAGAATTATAGTGATTGCGACTTAAAATCCAAAACTTCCCAGTGCTTTTCACATCTGCAAATGAAAAATGTATTTCAATTATCAAGCTAGGGACTTCAAGATCTTCGGGCACTCACAATGACTTTGGTTCGATGACCCTTGGGGGGTCACATTTTTTTCCTTTTCCCCAAAACTATGTTGCATTCAGAAAAAGCTTTTAGCAAGGATGCCCAAGTTCTTGGGAGGTACAGATGTAAAGCGGCTCTTCCTTAATTTACTCTAAATTGGAATTAACATACCAAACAGACATAATCAGGAAATACAATCAAAACAAAGAATCCCCACATAAAATTCTTCAGCAACTTTGAAAGAGAAAACACTATTTCCTTTTAATTAGCTGTGTGGCTTTGAATAAGTTACTTAATTTCTCTGTGCCTCGGGTTTCCTACCTATAAGATAACTGGGACTACTTTCGAGAGTTATTATGAGAATCGACGGGGATCATGTACTTAAAGCCCCAAGCACAGTATATGGCGCATACTAAGCGCTCAATAAGCCCAAGTGATCACAACGATCACGATTTAATTTTTAACGGGAAAGTAAAGTGCTCTTTCCACAGGTGCAGCCTCAAATAGTGACGTGTGAGATCAAGTCGGGTCGAGGAACAGGCAACGCACAGGCGGTCACTCAGGCAGGGGCGGTCGCCGGGTAACGGTGCAGGTTCCCCGCAGCCGCGGAGCCTCCTGCGCTACCGTGCGCGGCCCTGCGCTCGGAGGGCGAGCAGAGGGGACACGCGGCGCAGGGGCGGCCGCGGGCCGACAGTCCAGACGCCGCCGCCTTCGAGCGATGCTTCCCGAGCGGCGGCCGCGGGCGCTCGTCCTGGAGCCGGGAGCCCCATCCAACGGCCGAGCGCAGGAGGAGGAGGAGTGGAGGGGAGTGAGGAGGTGGAGAAAGAGGAGGTCCCGCCGCGGCCAAGAAAACAGGCCACGCTCGGGGGAGGAGGCAGAAACCAAACACCCAACCGCCGCCCAGCGCCGGGCTCGGCCGGGCCCGTGTCCGCGCCGCCGCCGCCCACACCCCGGGCCGCGGAGACCGCCGAGGGCCGGCCGACGGGGTGGGCGGCGACACGGAGGAGAGGCGAGGAGCTCGGAGAGCGCACAGCAGGAGCCCCGAGGCGGGGCGCGCGCCGGACCCGCCGGGCTCCGGGACCCTGGACGCCCGCCCGCCCGCACTTACGTGGGCCCGAGCCGCCGCGGGGATGCGCGAGGGAAGCGGCCGCCGGCTCGGCGGGGGAGGGCGCGGGGCTGCTGAGGTAGCGGCGGCCGGGCTGGGCTGCGCCTCGCTCGGGTCCCCGGACGGCGGGCGCGGAGCCGGCTCCAGCGCTCCTGGTGCTGCGCGCAGGCCGGCCCGTCCAGGTCCTTTTGTTGTTGTGCGGCGCTCGCAACAGCTGATCGGCCGCTCCGCCCGCCGTCGGGCCCGGCCGCCCCGCCCCGGGGCCGCGCCAGCCCCGACCCCACCAATCGGCGGCGCGGGCGCCCGGGGGCCGCCCTGCGAGAGGTTGTCACTAACGCACGTGACCTGGCGCCCGGCCCGGCGACGCTCTCGAGTCAGAAACAAGCCCGGGCAACAAAAGCGGGGAGCCCAGAGCGGAGACCAGGGGCGAGCGGAAGGGCGGGAGAGAAGGGGCGCAGGGGGCCCCCCAGAAGTGGGAGCCGGCAGGAGCCAGGCGGGAGGGAGGACTGCGGGCAGAGCAGAAGGAAGAGCCCGCCGTCCACACAGCGGCCCCTTTGCCTGCCTGAGGAGCCGGGAGTTTGGGGCATCAGGAACACAGTTTTTCCCGTCCTGTAAGAGGAAAATTAAGGACACGGGGAGCGATGGGGCCAACGCCTCCAAGGGCCCCATTCTGGCCGGCGTAGGAGTAAACCCGTAGACTGCGTGCTGTACGGGGGACCCGCCTCTGGGCCTTATTGGGGGTTAAGGTCTGGGCTCCTGATACGGGGGACAGCGGCCCACTCAATCCCCTTTTTAAAACCAGGAGCCAGGCCCCACCTGCTGTGGAAACTAACAGTGCGAGCTGACTAAGCTTGCCCTCCAGGCTCAGGATTCTGCCTGTGGGTGAGGCAGAAGAGGCCATGGGACCAGGCCTGAAGGCAGAGCGTGCTGAACCTCGAGGGCTCTCTGCTCCCGCAGGGAAGAAGAACCCTGCATGAAGAAGAGTTAGGAGAGCTGCTTCTTCCCCAGGCTGTGCAGCTCGGCTCTGGTGTGACAGGAGGAGTTATGACCTCTGTTCTGTTCACATACGTACAAACTGGGCATTCACAGGGGCCTGCCTACTCACCAGGTTATTTATAGTGACAAGGAAATGAGACAGTGGGCTTGAAATTGTTTTCCAAACCAAAACCCTGTACACATATAGGTGGATTAACTATGTCTGGCAAAGGCAAGAGAGTCGTGTTGCTGCAGATCAGCTCTCATGTGCATCCTGTTTGGACTGGGATGTAATTTTCTGACCCAGGGTGAAATTTATAGGGGTATGTCTATTATACATTACAGTAGCTGAAAGACACATTCTGAACCTCACAAGAATCCTGAGGTCAGGCCATTTCCAACAATACTGGCTTTAAGGGATGTAAATTGAAGTGCAGGGAATTGTCTGACACCCAGGAGTAATGATCGATATGGTGGTCATTTGGCCTTATCTTGGGAGGTGGAGCAAGGCTGTCACTGTGGACTAGATAATCTCACA